AGCCCGGACTCTAATTACATGAGATACATTTTGGGTGCCTGGCTCTCCTTAACATAATTCTCAAAGATTCTCCCCAACACAGTTTCCTCTGAAGTGGGAATGACCTCATTAATCCTGCCTCCTATTCTTTTAGCTGATTGGTCCAGAGCTAAACACCTGACCCAAGGATGGCCAACCAGAATTTTTTTCCTTAGAAATTCTGTCTTAGAGACACAAAAATCCACAATGGCTGTGAAGAGCCAAGCTGAAAGGTCATATCAGCTATGGCTGCCATTTTGGGTCATGTGCAATGTGACAAACAGGAGAAGCTGGTCTGAGAAGAGAGCAGGAGAATAAAGCAGTCCACAGAGCAGAGAGGAGTGGGCCCCATGGCCCCTGAGAAAAGGAGAAAGTGGTTCTCCTGATGGCTTTTCCCTTCCTAGAGTTGAGCTTCATCTCTTTTATTTGGTTTCTTTGGGATTCCAGCATCCTTACCACATGCTTCTTTTACTTGAACAAATTTGAGTAGGCTCTGATCTTTGCAATCAAAGCAACTGTGACCAGGGAATGAGATAAGGATTCCTACTCTCACTACTTCTTTCAATATCATAATGGAAGTCCTCACCAGTGCAATAAGACAAGAAAAAACAAATAGAAGGCATGATGATTGGAAAGAAAGAATTAAAACTATCTTTATTCACAGAAGACAGGATTGTGTGTGTGGAGAATCGAAAGGAATATACAAGCAGAACTACAGTTGAACTCATCAAGGTCACAGGATACTGGGCGAACATGCAGAAATTAATTGTATTTATACATACTACCAATAAACAATTGAAAAATGAAATTACAAAACACAGACATTTAAAACAGGATGAAAACCAATGCATAGGAACAAATATAATGTGTGAATCTTCTATAGTATACTATAAAATTATTGCTGGATTAATTTAAGGAGTATCTAAATAAATGGAAAATTAGGACATGTTCATAGATTGGTACCTTGGTACCTGTTCAATCTTCAGGTGTCAATAATCTCCAAATTTGTCTATAGAGATAATGCAATTTTAACCAAAATCCTGGCAGACTTTTTTTCAGAATATAAATTGACAAACTGATTCTAAAATTTATATGGAAATGCAAAGGACTTAAAATAGCCAAGACAGTCTTAAAAAAGAACAAAGTAGGAGGGTTTACGCTACCAGATTTTAAAACTTAGCATAAAGCTACAGTATTTAAGCAGTGTAATATTGGCATAAGGAAAGACAATTAGATCAATGAAACGGAATAGAAGTCCAGAAAAGACCCGTGTGTCCGCAGTCAGTGGATTTTCGGAAAAACAAAATCAAAACCAAACAAAACACCAATGCAGTTCATCGGGGGAAGCAGAAGGTCTTTTTAATAAATGATGCCAGAGCAACTGGATATCCATGTGGACCATAGACCTACATGTGAAAGCTAAAAGTATAAAACATCCATACGAAAAGCATAGGACACTATCTCTGAAGTAGTCAAATCTTTCTTAGAATGGAAAAGCGCAAGCAATAAAAGAAAAAGAATTGACGTTAGTCTTCGTCAAAATTTCTGCTCTTTAAAAAACAGGAAAATTAAAAGACAAGCCACAGACTGGTAGAACATATTTGCAATTCATTTATCTGACCAAGGATTTGTGGTCAAGATACATAAGGAATCCTACAAATTAAAAAAATAATAATAAATGGGCAAAAGAGTTGAATAAGAACTCCACAGAAGAAGATACATGAATGGCCAACAAACATATGAAAGGGTACTCAACATCATGAGTCATTGGGGAAATACAGATTAAAATCACAGTGAGAAACCACAATATATTAGAGTGGATACAGCTACAAAGATTGACAATTCCAAGCATTGGTGAGGATCTAGAGCAACCAGAACTTTGATATCTTGCTGATAGGAGTGTAAAATAGTCAATCATTTTGAGAAATTACTTGACTGTTTCTAATAACATTAAATAAACACCTATCCTAAGACCCAACACGTCCACTCCTGAGTACACACTCTGGAGAAATGAGTACATACATCCACAAAAAGACTTGTCTAAGAACATTCGTAGCAACTTTATATTAGTTGAAACTAGAAATAATCCAAATAGTCATCAGCAGAAGGATGGATAAGCAAATTGTGGTCGTACTTCTCAGCAATAAAAAGAACAATCTGATAGACACACGTTGATGAATCTCAAATATTATGTTGAGCAAAGAGAGACACTATAGATGACACACTGTGTGATCCCATTTTTATGAAGTTCATGAGAGCAAAATTAATCTAACGGTGATAGAAATCAGAAGATAGTTCTGTCTGAGAGGGATGGGTATTAATAGGAAAAGGGTCTTAGCTTCATGGCTAATGTTCTAGATATTGGTCTGGTTGATGGTCAGGTGGGTGTATATGTATGTAAACGTTCATGTCTATGGAGTGAATTGTATCCACCCACCCCGACCCAAATTCATATGTTGAAGCCCTAACCCCCAGTGTGATGGTATTTGGAGATGGGGTCTTTGGGAGGGTGGGGCCCCATGAAGAGGAAAAGACCAGAGCTCACTTTCCCTCTCCACTGTGTGAAGACACAGCAAGAAGGTGGCTGACGAGCCAGAACCCGACCATGCTGGTACCTTGATCTAGGACTTCTGGCCTCCAGAACTGTGAGAAACAAATTTCTGTTGTCTAAGCATCAGTCTATGGTATTTTGTTATGACAGCCCAAGCTGACTAATGCATTCATCAAGCTATATATCCAAGATTTGTACATCTTGTTGTAATGTAAAATTTCCTTTAATAAGTACTATTAAAATTGCCTTTATGAAAACATTTACTATAGTGACAATTGCAAAAAAGAGGGGTAAAATATTTGGGGCCCAGCATAACACTCTAGTCCTTCTTCAATTGCTTCCAGTCTTTGTACAATGTAGGGTTCTCTTTTATTCCTTTTTTTGTGGGGGGGTCAAATTTAGATCAGAGTCTTGCATTTATACACACAAATCAGCAAGGAGGTAGAGAATGATTTTCCTGGCTTAGAGCAAAGGGGATTTCAATAGGAATGGATGGCTAACAGCGTTGGGAAAGTGACCATGGAAACTGAACAAGAGATGCTCAGAGTCCACCATGGCACTTTACATGAGGCACACAGTATATAAAGATAGGGACACAAGAGATGTGGGCAAGAGCAGAGATTAAATTACTTTACACAAATAAAGATCTGAGCCTCTGAATGCCACGGTGCTGGTGAAATGAGGAGTAGTGAGTGGAAGGGGATGGATGGCACTCACTAATAGTACCGCAGATGTCTCATGTCAAGCAAATATGGATGTGGTGGTTCATTAACTGTCGAATGGTAACGTTTCCCAGGAGAAACTCATATTTGGAACTTTACCTATAAAAGCAGTAACTCAAAGCTGTGGGAGCCTGACAGCCCAGCAGGAGGTTTTTGACTAGAAAGCTTTTCCATAGGTATGTTGTGACCTGCCTGACCATAGAAACCCAGGTCAGAAAACATAATAGAAACAAGTGTCACATTGGGACTCCTGAGACTGACCTAGATATGCTCCCCCAAACCTCTGTCCTCACTAAGCCCAAGACGGAAGGAAGCACAGGTGACTTCTGTGAGCCAGACTGACTCAGTGGGGAGCACACAGAAAGGGCTCTCATCTTCCCCTCGACTCCCCACTTCAGCCTGCTCTGTGGGTTGGTACTGCCTGCCCAGCCTTGGGTGAGATCTCAGGCAGACCACATGCAAAGTTTTTCCGGTCACCCTTAGCTTATAAACAGATGGCCTCTTTTGCTGGGTATAAAAAGTGCACCTGAAAGCTATTTCAAAACTCCAACTCCTTCCCATCCAGGCCTCCCACAGCCGGGAAGCCTCTGCTTCATGCTCTGTCTTCTCCCTGGCCCCCTAGCTGCACTTTGGGCCCTCAGAGTGGGGCAACTGTAGGGGCTCTTCAGAGATACCTTGCCAGGGGTCTCTGACTGCAGTTTTGGGGCATGTGCAAAGCTCTCAAGCTGGCCACTTAAGATGCCCCACGTTTATGCAGCCACTTTCTGGTCCACCTGGCCCCTAGCAGGAAGTCTTTTGGGTGGAGTTCTTTTTTTCTTTTTTTTTTTTTTGCGGTACGCGGGCCTCTCACTGTTGTGGCCTCTCCCGTTGCGGAGCACAGGCTCCAGACACGCAGGCTCAGTGGCCATGGCTCACGGGCCCAGCTGCCCCGCGGCATGTGGGATCTTCCCGGACCGGGGCATGAACCCGTGTCCCCTGCATCTGCAGGCGGACTCTCAACCACTGCGCCACCAGGGAAGCCCAAACATAACTTTTATATGCACTGGGAAACCAAAAAATTCAAGCTACTTGCCCTGCTGCAAGATTCACTTTATTGTGATGATCTGGAACCAAACCCTCAACATCTCTGGAGTCTGCCTGTATTGTTAAGTAGGTTTCAAGATGGTATGTATATAAGATCCCATTTTTTGAAAAGAAAATATGCATAAAACATATAGAAAAAAAGACAAAACATTTACAACACATAAAAACCTCTGGGTGGTGGTGATGCAGTGATTTTTCTTTTCTACTTCTTCATGTGTTTAGTATCTAAAGTTTCCTAGTTTTGTGACAGGAGAGTAACAGTGGAGCTATTTTTTTTTTTTTTTAAGGAAATTGTGGAGTTTTTTTTAACTGACGCACTACTCAGAGATTTGAGGGTGATTTATTTATTTATTTTCAATAGATCTTTACTGGAGTATAATTGCTTCACAATACTTGTTAGTTTCTGTTGTACAACAAAGTGAATCAGCCATATGCATACATATATCCCCATATCTCCTCCCTCTTGAGCCTCCCTCCCACCCTCCCTATCCCATCTCTCTAGGTCATATATGCAATGGAATATTAAAAGCCGTAAAAAGAAATGAAATAGAGTTATTTGTAGTGAGGCGGATGGACTTAGAGTCTGTCATACAGAGTGAAGTAAGTCAGAAAGAGAAAAACAAATACCTTATGCTAACGCATATATATGGAACCTAAAAAAGAAAAATGGAGTTTTTTAAAACATGAACAACTGAAAATTATTATTATTTTTTAAACACAAGACACCCTTGTAGCCCCGTTAAGACTCTGCAGAACGACCCTTGTGACATTGTTTCATGAACCGACCCCTCATGATTTGTTGTCTCTCACCTTGCTCTCTTGGCTCCTAGGTCTGTCCGTGTTGATATTCTCCAGGGTCGAGTTCTGCTCTGGGGGAAATTCAAGTTCAGGGGCTCATTTACAGAGTTCCCATTTTCCAGTGAATCTGTGACATGTGAGAAATGTAGGGAGTTAGGAATGTGCATCTCATCTCCCCTTTTCAGGCAATTCTCTCTATGAGACTAGGTCAGTAGCAACTGTCACCCTGAGAGGAGAAGGAAGTGGAGTGAAGAGGGGTGTCCTTCCTCTCATGCCCCCGAAGGGGAATTTGCCACTTTTTGTGCTGTATTCAGTGACCTGCAATGCCATCACAATGAAAATCGTAATTATGGTACAAGAAACTTCATAGCCACACATACATCCATACACACATCTATCCATACGTGCATGTATAGCGGAAAAAAGAAAATCAGAAATGAGCTTGAAAACTTGGATACAAACCTGGTTAATGTCTTAGAGGACAATAGAACCATAACCACTGGTGTTATCATTTCTACTGGATGAAAATCATTTGCAACTTATCAGTTTTTTAACATCTACCTTTACAATTTCTGAGTCCTAATAGATATTAAATAATAAGTCACCTGCCCTAGAGTGTCAGATCAACCGTAGGTGGCGTTGTTAGTTAATGTTCTCATATGACTTTGAAAGGACACCCCTTAGCAGATGAGATGGGGACTGTCCTCACTTTCCTGACCCAGATCACCCCAGAGCGCCAGCCTTGTTTCCTTGTTAGGGGTGGACGGGAGAAGCCGGGTGCTGGGTGACCTCCTCAGCAGGACAGTGTTTTCTCCTTGGACCCTGGATCAGGGGATGCTGGGCTGTCTTGAGCGTTAACTCCAGGGAGCTAAAATGAGGAAGTCACTTTACAAATAAAACTGCAAGTCTGATGAGAGTATTTATGGTCTGAACATAAATGGCATCTTTGGCTGTGGCAGGGCATGCTGTGGCCCGTGTGTCTACACTGGCGTCGGCAACCTCCACTCATCTCGGAGGCAACAAACTTGAGGCTGTCTCCCCATCAACCCCGTTTCCCTCTCCAGCCTCATCTCAGACAGAGCCCCACACCCACCTTTTCTCCTGCTCAGAAAGTCCCCCACCCCAACTTTGGGCAGCTGATTCTGCTTTTCTCTCTGCTTTCAACGCTGTAACCCTGCAAAGTCCGATGGGGTAGCCGCTAGCCACGTGGGGCTATTACACACTTGAAATGTGGCTCATGTGACTAAAGTAAATTCTTCATTTTTTTAAAACTTAAGTTAATTTAAATTTAAATGTAAAAACTGATAGTTTCATTATTAGAAATCTTTTGAGGTTATTTGGCGTAATCTGGGGATTGTTTCTAGTTTGATTAACTTTTCTGGCTGTACATTTAATAACCTCTCTGGCTGTAAACTACTTCTTTGACTGCACATTTTATGAAATCTAAATCCAGATCAAGAATTTCCAATTGCAAATTGAGATTGCAAATTGAGAGAGACTATAAATGTAAAATACCGAACAGATTTCAAAAACAGTACCACAAAAAGACTGTAAAATGTCTTATTACTAATTTTTGTATCGATTATTGACGATAGGATAAAATTATAATATTTTGGATGTATTGGGTTAAATAGAATGCATTGTTAAAATTAATTTTACTCATTTCTGTTTACTTTTTAATGTAAAAAAATTTTAAACGACGTATGTGGCTTGCATTACATTTCTGCTGGACAGAGCTGCTCTAACCCCCTTCTCCATCAGCACAGGTTCTGGGACTAGAAGAATCTGAACTCTAGATCAAGCCATACCACTCACTAGCTGTGTGATTTGGGGTAAGTGACTCAGTTTCTCAGGGCCTTGATTATTTTTTTTAATCTGTAAAATGGGTATGGTAAGAACTGCCTTGAAATGCCTGCCTATCTTAGCCAATAAGTACCCACAAGTGCTCAGCCAAGTTAGCTGCTGTTCTTTCTGGCCACGTCCTAATGCATCCTTCAGGGCTCACCTAAAATATCATCTTCTTTGGGGGAATCATTCCTAACCCTTCCAGAGGGTCTAGTTTAAAGCCTTTGCCTCTCTTATAAACTTTGCCACATTGCTTGCAGTAAAATGACATAATTACAATATTTTGGGTTTCTCAAGGGCAGAGACTCCCACTTATTCATGTGTGTGTGCTTTTAACTCTTATGGAAATTTTCAAACATACACAGAAGTTGAGAGAGTAATATAATGTACCAACCACCCTGCTCCCATGACTATAGTATTCCCATTGTTGTATTTCTCTGGCTTCGCACGGTACTCAACCCAAAATTCTATGTTTGTGGTAGGTGGCAGACAACCACGCTTTCTTTGCTGCTCCTCGCATCAAGCAGTGGAGTTGATTTCTCCATCTGCTTTTATCTGGACTGGACCTGTGAGCTGCTTGGACAGAGAGAATGTGGTAGAAGTGACTGTGCAGGCTCTGACCCCGGGTCTCAAGACCTGGAGGCTTCTGTTCCTGCTTTCTGGGAGCCCTGCTGCCATGTGGACAAGCCCGAGCTAGCCTCCTGGAGAATGAGCAACACGTGGAGCAGAGACAAACAGTCCAGGTGAGGCCCTCGTGGACCAACCAGCTCACTAGCGGCCAGAGAGGCCGTCCTTGACCTTCCAACCCCAGATGAGCCACCAACTCACTGCAGAGGTCAGACAAAGTGGCCCAGACAGAGGAGCCACCCAATCAACCCCCAGAATCAAGAGAAATAATAAAAAAATATTGTTGTCCCGTCTCTATGTTTTAAGGGTGGTTTAACATGTGGCAAAAGGCTACTAGATAGAGTTTAATGAAAGTTTTTGAACCAGTTAATGTCTCCCCAGCACACACGGGGCAGCGTGCTATCTGTCCAGTGACAGCTGCCGTACCCCAGGGGCTAAGAAACTGTCACACGGTCCACAACCCCAGCCTGCTGCCCGCTCAGCCACGTGGGCAAGTCACAGGGGAAGGAGACTCAGCTCTGACAACCCCCGTTTGTAAACGTTTCTGGTTCTACTCAACAGATGTGCTTTGAGCAGATGAAATGTGCTAGGAGCTGGTTTAAAAGATTAAGGGATCCTGCTGCAAAGCTATTGCCGTGGTATTAATCTCTCATATTTTCAGGACAACAGAAACTCTAGCTATCATGGTGATGGTGAGAGAACAGGATAGAACCTCATGTTAGGAGAGAAACTCGTGTTCCCAGATATCCTTACACATAGACAACTGCAAGTCTCCCTTCTAGAATGCATGGAATCTGGGGGGTTTGCTGAGCCCTGGAACAAGACGGCTCTTTTAATAGAAGCCAGTCTTACTGTATCACTTGGGTCAACACTTTCTCCTGAAGTATCCACATCATCTTATTGGGGGAATTTGAATTCTTTGGATAAAGGCTTCAAAATGTTCCACCTTATTGAACGTGTTCCTTGTTCATTTTCAGTGCCTTTTATTCTCCTTTCATTTAAGTGGGCCTTTCAGCCCCAGTGACTCCAACTGGATGTCAAGGAGCAGCTGTGACAGTCGTCCCCGGTACTGACCTGCCAGGTGTCCGCAGTTCTGTTCGGGAGTGCCTCTGGCTTTGCCTTTGCTTCTGTGTCTCACGGTGCGATTGAAGATGGAGTTTCTCTGGATAGGGATGTAGTAATGGGGTGCTTTGTCTTGCATCTCCCGGTCGGCATGGGGCGTCCTCTCTTCTGAGAGGACCTCAGGTCTCACACTGGCCAGCTCACCAATCTCCCACGAACCCCTCACTGATTTCCTCTGGGGCTTTCCCAAATCCGCAGAGTCCCTGGTCTCCATGGAAATAAGTCCAATTGTTTCTCAGCAGAATGACTGGAGAACAATAATCTCTCTCAATCGTGCCTGGTTTTGAGTGCTCTAGAATCGAAAGAGAACAGTTTTCAGTCACTGTCATCAGGCTAAAGATGCCATTCAGAGTATGGAATTCCACTCGCATTCAGATTTGAGGAAAATTTGAAATAATCTCTGCATCCTGGCGACCACATCTTTGTCAATGAAAATTACAGCTTAACCACTGCAATTCGGATGCATTCATGTATCATTTTATAACTGAGGTTTGTTAATTCTATTCAGAGGCAACACTTTTGGGGAAGACGCTGAAAGCGGCTTGTGTAACTAACTTTCAAGCACTGTAAACATTGGCTGAATAAATCAAGAGAGGGTAGCAAAAATGGTGAGGGGAACTCCAGGAAGCCAAAGCAAGGGACAGGAAGGTGTATGGCGACAAAAAGAAAGAGTCGTGGGAAGAATAGGAAGGGCCGTCAGAGAGTGACAGGTCCCAGGACAGTAAATTTAGAGACGGGAAGTCTTTTCTTAAATTATTATTTATTTTTTAATTGAAGTGTAGTTGATTTACAATGTTGTGTTAATTTCTGCTGTACAGAAAAGCGATTCAGTTATGCATAGATACCTTCTTTTTTTTCATATTCTTTTCCATTCTGGTTCATCATAGGGTATTGAATATAGTTCCCTGTGGTATACAGTAGGACCTTGTCGTTTATCCATTCCATGTACAATAACTTACATCTGCTGACCCCAACCTCCCACTCCATCCCTCCCCCAACTGCCTCCCCATTGGCAAACACAAGTCTGTTCTCTGTGACCATTAAGTCTGTTTCATAGGTAGGTTCATTTGTGTCATATTTGAGATTCCACATATAAGTGATACCATATGGCATTTGTCTTTCTCTTTCTGACTTACTTCACTTAGTATGATCATCTCTAGGTCCATCCATGTTGCTGCAAATGGCATTATTTTGTTCTTTTTTATGGCCGAGTAGTATTCCATTGTGTATATGTACCACATCTTCTTTATCCATTCATCTGTTGGTGGGCATTTAGGTTGTTTCCATGTCTTGGCTATGGTGAATTGTGCTGCTATGAACATAGGGGCACATGTATCTTTTTGGATTAGGGTTTTGTCTGCATATATGCCCAGGAGTGGGATTGCTGGATCATATGGTAATGAGGAGCCTCCATACTGTTTCCATAGTGGCTATACCAACTTACATTCCCACCAACAGTGTAGGAGGGTTCCCTTTTTAGAAATGGGAGGTCTTAAACCCTGCGAGGACAAACCTCTTGCCGTCCACTGGGGGGTCCAGTCTGGTTGGTGGCTTAGTGGCCTCTCTGATAGGATGATGTTGTATGGCAACTGCAGGAAGGACAAGCCCTCCCGCATCCCACAGCTATCCCAGGGATTGGAGTAACAGAATGGTTACCTCCCTCTGGGGTGACCATAGAAGATATAGCATCTGAACCCACGTTTCATAGGAAAAAGGGGTGTATTAAGAACACACCAGGACTGCCAGGCAAATCCCTTTTTCCTCCCAACACAGGCCTTATTCTAGAGTAGGGGTCTTAGAGTGGAGTGAACCATGTGCGTCCTTCGAACGAGGTGTAAGCTGGTAGGGGGCTGCCAGACAGGGGAGCCAAGCTAGGAATTCTTTGTGGCTCCTCACCCACTTAGAACCTGGGGTCCCGTGGGTTCTGTGGAGGCTTAGGGGGGATGCAGACTGTGTGCAGAGGCTGTGTGTGTATATGTTTTTCTTGATTACGGGTCCAGAACCGCTATCATGTTCTCAAAGGGCTTAGAGACTCAGGAAAGAGACACATGAAGAACCACGTCTTCTGTCTCTGCTTTCTTGCGCAAAACAGAAAGAATGGGGCCTGGACTTGACAGCACACCCCCCTTTCCCACTGCGCCCCTCTACTTACAGCCAGGTGCCCTGGCTACCCCAAGCCCCGCCTGTGGAGTTCCCCATGGGTGAGTGCTCAAACCCTCCCCTTCCCCCCGACCCCAGGCCCAACACACACCAGGATTTCAGGGCAGTTGGTCAGGTGATCTTAGAATATTCAGGAGGGACGTGGGCTACCCCCACCACCAGGCAGAGAACATCCTTGTTTATCTAAGGTAGGAATTCAGACTTTCTGGTCAGGAGACATTTGAGGCTCCGAGACCATTCTGGTTCCTAGAACCAGCTACGTAAGGACGCAGAGCAGAAGGTTCACCCTGGGACGTTGCCTCCTGTCCTCCCTGCCTGCAGGTCTGGTGACATTCGATTAATGACCTGCCCAAGAATAATCAGCCTAGAGAACTGAGCATTAAGGTGTTAGAGATTGAGAAGCATTAAGACAGGGTCCTGCCCTGAGGCAGCTTGGTTGGGGGCAGGGGCACTGCCAGGCTTGTGGGGGCCTGGGAAGCTCCTTCACTGTCAAGGTCAGCGGTGTGACCCCAGCAAGCTCCTGTAGTCCCAGCATCCAGCATCCATGTCCCGACCCATAAATGCTGGGTATGCACTATGGGATCTGTTGGACAGGTCCCATCCCGCTGGCTAAACCAGACCTCCCTTGGAGAGTCAGCCTGCAATTTCTGGTGGCCAGAAAGGAGAGCGCAGTGACTAAGAAGGTCACGTTTAGGTTGCCAGACAATTAATAGGACGCCCCTCCCAGGAGCACCTGGGAGGACATTGCGTGTTACAAACATGACGAGGAACCCACAGCTAGTGGGCAGGGTGGGCGATTTTCATTGAAAGCAGGTTTAACCTGAGTCAACGAGGAGATGTAACTACAAAAAAAGCTAAACTGTTTTCGGATCACGTTGTGGGACGAGAGAGATTGGGAGGATGCTGTCCTGGCCAGATGAGTGGGGGACCCCTGCTCTATGCTCTGGTGAGAACCTGCCCATCCAAAAGGGGGCTGGGTGGACGGGCAGAGAAGACCCAGGAGTGACGAGGGCAAGGTCGTCACACATACACCCTCTCGGGCATGGGACAGGAGAGCGTGGAATTAGGACCATGGGCGAGGACAGACTTTAGCTTTGGATTCCAGAGCTGTCCGAAGGTAGCGGTGAATTCCCCGTCCCTGGAGATGTCCAGACAGAGACTGTTGGGATTTTAGGGTTCAGTGACTCTGACATCTTCTCTTTTTCCTTGCCCTCTGGGCCTCCAAGCTGTGTTCAGACTCTGATACTGAGGCTGCTCTCAGCTTAGAATTGATCTGGGGGCAGTACGTGGGGAGGGATCCCGCGGGCAGGTAATGCAGGAGTTAATTGTGTGTTGGGACCAGTCTGAGGAGGTCTCTGAACTGGGTTGGGGAGTTCCTACCGCATCCTCGACGACTGCGAGTGAAGAGGTAGTGGGATCCCGGAAGCTCCGGGCAGGCAGGGCTGGGAGGCATCACACAGGTGTATCACCCGGGTGTAGCAGACGGGGGCGGGGATGCGGAAGACGTGTGAGAGGAATGACAGAATCGTTGACTCAAGGTGGTTTGGGGACGAGCAGGGAGGGGGCCGTCCCAGTGGCAGTGGCGGGCCAGGGTGACTGGGTAGGCCGGTGTTGGGTGGGAGTGAAGCCAGCCTGGGATTGGAGCACACTGGTTTCAGGGACGTGCAGTTGGAAAACCTTCCAGGAGGAAAGTCTGCAGTTGGAAATCCTTGGCTGAGGCTGCCTGACTGTTACAAACAGGGCATCCCCTGCTCTGACCACGGGGTATCTTGAAGGCCCTACCATGTTGCGGCCCTGAACACGCACTGTTTTTTGGCATTCAAGGTTATTATTGTGATCATTATCATGACCATTATTATTTTAGGCTGCTTTAAAGAATTAAGGTATAATTTACATACAGTAGAATGTGCCTTTGTTAAGTGTATGGTTCTGAGTTTTGATGAAAGCATACAGATCATGTCACCACAGTTGAGATACAGGACATTCAATCACCCCAGAGTTCCCTTGTGCCCCACTGTGGTCAGCCCCTCCCCTGCCCCCACCCCCGGCGACCACCGATCTGTATCTGTTCCTCCAGTTTGCCTTTTCATGACTGTTGTGTAGATGGAACTACAGCCTTTGGCGTCTGGCTTCCTTTGGTTGGCGTGAAGAATTTGCCACCCAGCCCGGTTGCAACAGTAATGGTCGCCAGTGTTATGAATTCATGGAAGCCAACACAATATATTGTGAAGGGCACTCGTCTGGGAGTCAGGGGACTTGGGTGCAAATCTCCTTTTCCTGCTGCCTGTAATCACCTACTGGGCAAGGCAGGGGCCTCAGTTTCCTGTCCAGGAAACATGGTTTTGGGTGGGTGTTCTTGGGGGCTCCTTAGCGAACTCTCAAATTCTGTGATCTGGGGAGACTCAGAGAGCCCTCAGAGGGAAGCTCTGAGTGGTGACAAGAACCCTGGGGATTGCTCTGAAATGTCCCTATCATTTTCTTTAACTGAGGCGGCTCTGAAACCTTGAGAAAATGTATTCCATCCTTAAGACACCACACACACACACACACACACACACACACACACACACACACAAGCACACGCACATGCACATACAATTGGTGAAACCTGGAAAAACAGCTCTGACTGCACCTCAATTACTGCCTATTCCAGGCAATCTGCTGGATTCGCATCTGCTTACAATCGCTACAATTCTTCTATATCCATTACTTGCTGGAAAGGCTGACAGCCCTCCCCCACCTTCTAATGTTTTTCTTAAACTCCCAGTAGCTTTAAGCCCCATGTCTTACTGTTTCAGGTGGCTTCAGGGTGGAAGTGCACGGGAGTGGCTTTGTGATTGGAAGGGGGGCTTATGGCAGAACTGCACTTGCACAGTATTCATTCATTCGTTCGTTCATTCACTCATCATCAAGCATTGATGCCATGTTGTCCGTGTCTGGCACCTGCTGGCATGGTGTACACAGCTTCATCCCCATGCTGCCCACATTCCCCTGTTAGGAAGCTCCAGAGGACAGGACTCGGTCGGTTTTGTTCACTGCTGTTCCTGGTGCAGAGGGCACACAACTGTGAACGTGCATGAATTACCTCCGTGAGGTCGATGGGGTAATTAGCACCATTCATAGATAAGGAAG